TCAGATGAAACCGCTCAAGGATCCCAGCAAGTGTCAATAGGTTATTGATGCCATATTGGTAGATGGAACCCAGTAACAGCACCTGGTGCTTCCACCTTCTGGATACAGGACTCGCATGTAGCACTGAAAAAAAAAAAAGCGATGAGCCTTTTACATCGCCCATGCCCTCGCCTGCTTAGCTCCTGTAATCAGAACTGGAACTGGCCAGGCAGCGTGCCAGTCTGCCTGGCATTTCCTCCTCTGACCTCCTTGCACACCTGAATTTGGTTTAGGACACAGGTGCATCACTGTTTCAACCCATAACTACTGTATACACAGGAACACACTTGGACTGAAGTGCACTGTTGTGTCACCTCTTTCCAGATCTCTAAAGTACAAATCCTATCACACCGCTCCAGCTCCCTTGCCTGAATGAGCTGAAAAAGGTGTGCTGCTGTTTTGATTCAGTCAAAGACCCATGTACTGTAGCTAGAACATGCCTCCTACACGCCTGGCTGTATTCCTGTGAGCCTGTGAGCTGAAGCTGAAAAATGTAATTAAATTACAGCTGCAATTTGGAGGCAGATTAGGTGGGGTAAAAAGGATTTAGAAAATCAGTTAAGCCCTTTGTTCGGCGATGGAAGCAGTTAGGAGTTTCAGCTGTACAGTGGTGGAGCAGTGCAACATGCTGATGGCAAGAGAAGAGCACGGAGCTGAAAGAGCTCTCTGTGTAGGCATGGCACAGCCAATGGTCTTCGGGTGTGTGTGTGTGTGTGGGAGGGGGGTGATTTGCTTTGCCACTATGGGAAGGAATAATAATATCTACTGGGGGGGGGGGGGGGTTTGAGGTAATCAATTTGAGGCATCTGACATACTCCTAATTACTGTTGTGAGCTTCACAATGGAATTCCAAGTGGCTCCCTGCAGCTTGGACAGCTCTGTGCCTGGTGCCATGTTTCCAGGCCCAGGGGACCGCAGGGGGCCATGAGAAACGGGGAGAGGGATATTTATAGAGAGCACAAGGCTAATAGATGCTTGGCAAGGCTGCTTCTTCAGGGGGCTGCAGGCATTTCCAGGTCAGGCCTGACGATCCCAGGGAAGGCTACATGGACCGGCTGTGGAGGACACATCGCCCTGGGAGCCAGATTCCCTCCCCTCTTTAAAGACGGTGGCCTCAGTCCGCCCCAGTGCGGATGCCTGCCGAGGTATTTCGACGCGTTTTCACAGCTGGAGTGGGGGCCGCCGTGGACGTGGGTGGCGAATTGTTGTTTGGCGCTTGGGTGTGAAATAAGCGCAGCAAACCGACGAGGAACTGGCACCCCACTCCCACAGGGGCAGATACACATACCAGAGGTGATGACACCGCTTCACCCACTGCCTCGTATAGCACTGTCTGAGTCACTAATAATTCCGGGACGAGTTTCAGTCTTAAGCAGCTTTTAAAGAAGGGTATTTCTTGTATTTATTGCTGACCACAGCCCTGAGAATAGGATCTGTACTTTGCAGCACTAAAGGATCTGAAAAGTCCACTCAGGGATGAATACGGAGTTCAGCCACACTGAATCTCTCGGATCATAATGCCCGGAAACCTTGATTCAAAACCAGGCCTAGGACAACTAAAAATCCCAGGTAGAAATACTCTGGGTGCTTTAAGACTTAAGAAACCTATATTAAGGGCTGACAAACCAGTTAATGGTTTCTCACTATGTTTGCAGAAGTGCAGTTACGCTTCTACTTGGACTACGCTATGAGCAGGATGGGGTGGTAAAAGTTTTGCTCTGGGGTTGATTCTGGGCTGGAACCTTTTCCATGGTTAGCTCGCATCACCCCATTCCCTGCATGCGTTTTCTTCAGATGCCCCGGTTCTCCCCTGCCTGCCAAAGATGTACCGGTTGTTTCATTTGAATTCTCCATTTCCCTGAGATGGAGGGATGGGCATCCCTACTCAACCTTCCCTGTGAGCTGAAGTTCTGATGCCTGCCCGTCCCACACTCAAATTCAGGGGTGGGTTTTCCAGATTTTCCGGAAGAAAGAAAAATAACAGCGAAAGGCAATTCAGATATCTAGCTTCTCTCTCTCGCTGCTCCCAAAATGTGCAGAAAGATCATATTTAGATCTCAGTATCGGTTTTGCAGTCCAATCAGCCTTTGCAAAGGAAATGCATAGACGTCATTCAAACAGATGAGCTATACTTGAAGTTCAACATAGAAGAAAAAAAAAGCATACCTGCTACAGGACTCATGAACCTTAAAAGGCAATGCTAATGCGTGCAAAAACAAACCCGCATGAGACACAGCATGCACATTCAGGGAAGGGTTAACTCCTGCTGACTGAGAACTACATGGGGTGATCATTAGTGTCACTTCTCATTATCAACAACTACTGCAGCCTATCCGTGGGCAGAGTTAATCCTCTTCTGCTTCCCTGAGAACAGGGAAGGCAGGCTGAAGCACACAATTACACGATGGTGGTGTCAAAAAATAAGAAGGAGCATCTAACTCTTTTTCACTAGCCTAGTTCCCAAGACTTGTACTATCCAGCTACACCTCAGGAAATTGTACAGGAGGAGAGCATGTTCATAGATAAGAGAGTAATAAGACATGAGGTTTTAAGCTGAAGGCAGCAGTAGTACTGTAACAGAAGAAAAGAAAACATTCAGCAACCGATATACTTCGGCGACTTGAGAGTACTAACAAACTACACTCTATCCTATAAGATACTGACATGAAACCAGAATAGATGGAGGAAACCCACACAAACATGGGGAGAACATACAAACTCCACACAGA